CCCTCTAGACCCCGTAGCACCCCGACGCCAAGACCCTCGCTGCGGGGAGGCACCGGGGGCAGCGCCCCGCGATGGGGGGCGCCCCAAGTCGCTCCTCTCAGCTCCGCTCCCCGGCCCGGCCGCTCACCGCCATCACTGCCGCCTCTTCCTGCCCTGCCGGATTCCGCGCGAAAACAGACCCACGTGGTCAGCAAAAGCGCGCGAAACCTCATGAATAATGGATAGGCTGGGGGCTGGCCCCGCCCCGCTACATGAATATGGATGAGTATGGGCAGCAGTGGCAAACTTCGGCAAATATTCGGGCAGAGGGCCTTATATGCCGGATCGACACTCATGAAAGGGGACTGCAAAGTCTTCCTTTGACTTTGGTCAAAGACTGAGGGGTGACCTCATTCATGTTCATAAATTTATAAAGGGCAAGTGTCAGGAGGAAGGAGCCAGGCTCTTCTCAGTGATGTCCAATGACAGGACAAGGGGCAATGGGAGCAAACTGGAGCACAAGAGGTTCATGTGAACATGAGGAAAATCTTTTTTACTGTGAGGGTGACAGAGCATGGCCCAGGCTGCCCAGAGAGGTTGTGGAGTCTCCTTCTCTGCAGACATTCAAAACCCGCCTGGACGTGTTCCTGTGTGACCTGGTCTGGTGATCCTGCTCTGGCAGGGGTTGGACTGGATGAGCTTTCAAGGTCCCTTCCAACTCCTAATATTCTGTGATTCTATGATTCCTGGAGCCCAAATCAGGGATATCAGGAAACTCCCCAGCCTGCTGCGGTTGTCAGACTTTTACCCGCAGCTGATCTTCCAGACACGTAGGGAGGAAACTGTGTCCTGTAGTCTGAGAGGAATAAAGAGAGACTTCAAGGCCTTGGGACAGTTGGTGAGAGTTTGGGGCATGAGTTATTTTTCCTTCCCTCCTTCCAGTTGTGGGCTCTAAGATGAGAATTAGCACGGCTCATTCATAGAGCTTTAAACTAAATTTGAAAGTGGATGGGGTTGTTGCTGGGTTTTCACCAGTGGGGCAGGGTTCTGGTATTACTGAAGACCAGAAGGCCTCCTACCCTCCCTAGGGTGAAATCAGCGTGCTCAGCTGGCTCCTTGAAATGCCTGTACGCCAATAAACAGGACGATTTAGAAATCTGTGTGCAGACAAGAAGCCACCTGGTTCCAGTGGTCAGGGTTTGGGTTCTCCTGGCCCGAGACTGCATGTCCTGGGAGCTAACTGGAGAGGTGGCACAGATCAGCAGCTACTGCTCTGTCTCTGCAGTCTCTTGCTGCAGTAAGCAGTGCTGTTTAGGAGAGGAGCTGAAGAGCACCAGTCCCACAGAAACCAGAAGAGGAATTTAGAGACACACAGCAAGCAATGGGCTGATGTTTGGCAAGGAGGCGAAATGCTTCCATTCTAGGCCGCAGGCTCTTGCATAATGGAAGTGGTTTGGACTTTGGAAATCTGTCCTTTCTGAAGGGTTCCTGACCACTATTTAGTATTGGGCTGTTTCTGCTCTTGGCCACATCAAGAGTGAGACAGTAACCCCGAAACAGGAGACACCAGAAGCAAAAGTGACTAAAGAGGCAGCTGACAGTCATAGACCTGAAATGGCTTTTGCAGGAGGAGCTGGATGATTCAGCCTGGTATGGATATAGCAAAGCATCGTGATATAAACAGGAGAGTGGCTCATCCTCGTCTCCATGACACATGACAGGGAACTGCTGGCTGGTGCTTGGAGGGAAACAGGCACAGAGAACGCCCAGAGATGTCCCCGTCTGTGAGAGACCACCAAGGCTTCAAGGGAGACAGCCCGGCACTTGTAAGACAGTACTGTCTGTCACGGCCCAGGTGACACGCTGTGACAATCCGGTCTCACCACAGGGTGACACTGTCTCTCCAGGCACTGGACAGCTGGATGGACAGAGCTTTTCTGCCTGGCCTTCCCAGAAGACCATGGACATACCCATGTTTTCACTGCTCTCTTTGCATGCCAGCTACACGTGGTCCTGTGCTTAAGCTGGAGTGCTCAGTCTCTTTTGAGAAGAGCTGAGGTTGGGCAGCTAAAACCACCCCCAAAATTAGGTGGCCATTGTGCATGGGACAGGGCTCTTTCTGCTGTGCTAACGGCGATGCACTGGGGCATGCGAGAGGGCTGAGATGCAGGCAGGGCCCAGACACCTCACTGGGGTGAACTCAGCCGAGCACCGAACTCCTGACCGGATCAAAACGTGCTGCTAGGATTTTCCAGACTGGTGGCTCCAGCTCACAGCACAGGAGAAGCCCCAGGGACTGAATTTTCCATGAAGAAAAAGGGCAGAGACACTGCAAGCCAGGTGAGATTGCCAAAGGACAGCAGACTGCAGCAGGTACAGCACCAAGTGTCGGCTTTCCTTGGGCCCCTCAAGGTTATACCAAGGCTGCTAAACATCACCTCTTGTCTTGCTTCAGCCAGACAAGCAAGGACAAAGGGAGTGAGCTCTGCCATCCTCATGCCCTGGATGGAGGGGATGACGCAGGGATCAGCAGTTCTCAGCTGAAGCAGGAGGATGTGTGCGCTGAGAGATAGGGCAGTCCTTGGGGGTGGGACGAGCAGAATTATTTCTGCACACCCCATATTTTGGCTTGTAAATACAAAGGAAACATAAGCGTGGATTCCCACCTCCTCTGTTTCATGTAAGCAGTGAGGAAGGCAGGATCCAAAGGGTCACAGTCTTTGCGGTGGCACCCAGCAGTCTTCTGCTTGAGAAACAGCTTTTGAATCGGGTGTCCCAAGCGCTGGGATCCAGTGAATCAGATGGAAAAAGCAGGTGGATTGGAAAACACAATCTCTCCTTTTGGCACAGTTATGTGGGAGGTAACGTGTTCAGTTAGTTAGCACCCGAGGCTACAAGTGAGAAGACATGGGTTTTACTTTTGGCTCTGTTACCAAGGCAGAAGCACACCACCTCTCTTTAAACAGAAGTGTCCCTTTTATAACCATCAGAGATGTTGGTGCCTGCCGAGCCTTTGAGCCTGGATCCCTAAACAGAACACATCGAAATATTGCAACATACGATTAACCTGAACAACAGTGTGAAAAGAGACAAGCTAAGGACTGGCTTCTCCAGATGTCATTCCAAAGGCATGACACCAGCATAAAAAACAGGTTAATCTCAGTGGAAAATCAGAGGAATAGGGCAAGGAAGGCAACACAGCCTCAGGGTATGTTCTTGCTGCAGCAAAGCTGGAAAATTAAACCCTGAGAAGATCAAGCAGCCTCGAGTTGAGAAAGATGTATATGTGGGGTGGGCCTGAAACATTGTTCATGCTGTTGGCTAGAGCAGGGCAGGCAAACTTGTTCAATATAGGGATCTTCTAAAGAGGTGTAGACCTTGTACAGCAAATTTCAGCTTAGCAAAGGCCTTGCATTCCTAGAGAGACAATCCCTAGAGCCCCCTGTGAACCACAGGTAGAAAAACCATGGCAGGGTCTATCTTCCAGTCCTTGAAACGACTCAGGTAACAAGCATCCCCTTGAAACTCTGTTCACAGTCAGACAGCTCTTACTGCCAGGAGTGACCTGCTGATATTTAGGCAGTTATTTACTTTAACTTCCTTTCAAAATCTTGGCTCATTTATCCCAGTTATTCCCTTGTTTACTACAATAAGCAGCTCTTCTCTCTGGCTGACATTTGCACCTCCAAATACTGCTAATTAGAATGTTTCGCTTTAGCTGCTAACTTCCAACCTCTGCCAAGTTGATTCTGTCAGCTTTAAACTTCCCTTAAAAGCCAAACTCTCCAGCTTGTTAATCATTCTCTCCTGCAGGGACTCGCTTATAGGATCCAGCCCCTGGAAGAAAATAATTAACTCCCCTACCCTGCAATCAATAATCCCTCTACAGAAGTAGCCTAAAATGCTTATCCTCCTCACCTTGGAGGTGGGTGACAACTTGGGCTGCTGGATCACACGACTGTTCACTGCTGGGTGCGATACTGGGTTGTGCGGGCTGGCCTGGAAGACACAGCCAAGCTGGAATAGCCAGAGCC